GCAAGGCACTACAGAGGGTAGTGTGTACGGCCCAGTACATCACTGGGGCCAAGCTTCCTGCCATCCAGGACCTCTATACCAGGCGGTGTCAGAGGAAGGCCCTCAAAATTGTCAAAGACTCCAGCCACCCTAGTCATGGACTGTTCTCTCTGCTACTGCACGGCAAGCAGTACCGGAGCGCCAAGTCTAGGTCCAAAAGGCTTCTCAACAGCTTCTACCTCCAAGCCATAAGACTCCTGAACAGCAAATTATTGCTACCCGGACTATTTGCACTGCCCCCCCACCCCCACACCCCTTTTACGCTGCTGCTACTCTGTTTATTATTTATTCATACTCACTTTAACTCTACCCACATGTACATATTACCTCAATTACCTCTACTAGCCGGTGCCCCCGCACATTGACTCTGCACCGGTACCCCCCTGTTTATAGCCTCCCTACTGTTATTTTATTTTACTGCTGCTCTTTAGTTATTTGCTTTTATCTTTTTTACTTAACACTTAAAATGCATTGTTGGTTAAGGTCTTGTAAGTAAGCATTTCACTGTAATGTCTACACCTGTTGTATTCGGCGCATGTTGCAAATTTGATTTGATTCTGTAAGGTTCTCCCATCTCCACAGAGGAACTCTGGAGCTCTGTCAGTGTGACCATGGGGTTCTTGGTCACCTCCCTGACCAAGGCCCTTCTCCCCCGATTGCTCAGTTTGGCCGGGCGGCCAGCTCTAGGAAGAGTCTTGGTGGTTCCATACTTCTTCCATTTAAGTGTGCTCTTGGGGACCTTTTAAAGCTGCAGAAATGTTTTGGTACCCTTCCCCAGATCTGTGCCACGACACAATCCTGTCTCTGAGCTCTATTCCTTCGACCTCATTGCTTGGTTTTTGCTCTGACACGCACTGTCAACTGTGGGACCTTATATAGACAGATGTGTGCCTTTCCAAATCATTCACTCATTATGAGATATTATTTGTAGATTGAGGGGAACATTTTTTTTAGGATAAGGATGTATCGTATGATCAAACACATGGCGGCTGTGCACCATCAGCTAGCAGAATGCTGTTATCCTAAAAATACAGTTATCAGAACAGGGGTGTCTGGGGAGTGAATGTTGATCGCTGGTCTGTCTCCTGTTTTTCACAGCTTTTTAATTATAATTTTTATACGTCCAAGTGTAATATGGCAATATGTATATTTCAGGGTTTCCGTTAGGAAAGTTTGATGCCGGACAAGTCACCAGAAAGATGCACATTTATCTGACATTTAAGAAATGTACCGGTCATCCGTATGAATTGGGTGCTTAACCCATTAGGGCACACATGTCAAACTCATTTCACGGAGGGCCGAGTGTCTGGGTTTTTGCTCCGCCCTTGTACGTGATTGATGAGGAACTACTCACACCTGGTTGTCTAGGACTTAATTGAAAGGAATCACAAAAAACCTGTAGACACTACATTAGGGCATCCACCCACGCAGCCAGCGCTATCGATAAACAAAGGATATTGGCCAAATGAGCCAAGTTTACGTGTTCTTAAAAACACTACACAATTCCTTGTGTTTCGATGTGTAGCATATGCAAAACTTTATCGCTTATTAAAACAATATTTATCCCCCTCACAGTTCAGCTGTCTTAGATTTCAGCTCTAAATGCATCTTGGTATTGCATGCATGTATGATACACTATATATACAACAGTATGTGGACACCCCTTCAAATTAGTGGATTCGGCTATTTCAGCCACACATGTAAAATTGAGCACACAGCCATGCAATCTCCATAGACAAACATTGGCAGTAGAATGGCCTTACTGAAGAGCTCAGTGACTTTCAACGTGGCACCATCATAGGATGCCACCTTTCCAATAAGTAAATTCGGCTAATTTCTGCCCTGCTAGAGCTGCCCCGGTCAACTGTAAGTGCTGTTATTGTGAAGTGGAAACATCTAGGAACAACAACGGCTCAACGAAGTGGTAGGCCACACAAGCTCACAGAACGGGACCAAAGAGTGCTGAAGCGCGTAGTGCGTAAAAATCGTCTGTCCTCGGTTGCAACACTCACTACCGAGTTCCAAACTGCCTCTGGAAGCAACGTCAGCACAAGAACTGTTCGTCGGACGATTCTGGGTTTGGCAGATGCCAGGAGAACGCTATCTGCCCCAATGCATAATGCCAACTGTAAAGTTTGGTGGAGGAGGAATAAAGTTCTGGGGCTGTTTTTCATGGTTCGGGATAGGCCCCTTAATTCCAGTGAAAGGAAATCTTAACACTACAGCATACAATGACATTCTAGACGAATCTGTGCTTCCAATTTTGTGGCAACAGTTTGGGGAAGGCCCTTTCCTATTTCAGCATGACAAACCCCGTGCACAAAGCGAGGTCCATACAGAAATGGTTTGTCGAGATTGCTGTGGAAGAACTTTACTGGCCTGCACAGAGTCCTGACCTCAACCCCATCAAACACCTTTTGGGATGAATTGGAACGCCGACTACGAGCCAGGCCTAATCGCCCAACATCAGTGCCCGACCTCACTAACGCTCTTGTGGCTGAATGGAAGCATGTCCCCGCAGCAATGTTCCAACATCTAGTGGAAAGTCTTCCCAGAAGAATGGAGGCTGTTATAGCAGCAAAGGGGTGACCAACTCCATATTAATGCCCATGATTTTGGAATGAAATGTTCGACGAGCAGGTGTCCACATACTTTTGATAATGTAGTGTATAAAGGAAGAGAAGCTTAGGCCTAGCCCCAGAGAGGGGGAGAGAGAGAGAGATATGCCGACGGCATGCTACAACTCCGAACATGCATTTCTTTATTCTTGTTAGAAAGGCTACTGCATCTGCAATACAGATATAGGCTTACAGAACGATGATAATTCATTCATTTTTAATCCGAATATTTTTATAAAGATTGTATTGTTCGATTATAGGAGTAACTCTGGTAGGCCTAAAACATACTTCCTCACCTCAAGTTCAACTTTCGGAGAGTTGGAGCGCCGGTGTCATAGGCCTGCAGTGTAATAGGCTAATAGCCACTGTTTATAGTAATATCAAAAGCAAGTCAAGCCACTGTTTATAAAGAAAATATGAGCAGGATATTATATCGCGGCAAACACAACATTACAGTTATAATTTGGCCAAAGAAAATGGCTCAACAGAATGAAACGAAACACTTGTGAACTGGTTTAAACTTTCCCATAAGTTTTGAACAAGCTATATTGCGGCAATTACCAAGAATGTTTTAGTGCCTACCGTACCCAAGAAATGACAGCAATAGGCTAATGATATTATTTTACAACAGGCTTATTTATAACCTTAAACTAAATACGGAGCACATAATTGAAAACACAGATCAAACTTAATTTAGCCAACAACAATGTCTGAACAGAATGAAATAAAACACGTTTTGCATATTTAAAGAACTGGTTTAGATTAATAAATAGGCCTACAATAATAATGAGATACAAACATTTAAACGCAACATGTAACAATTTCTAAGATTTTTCCTGAGTTTTATTTAATATAAGGAAATCAGTCAATTGAAATAAATAAATTAGGCTCTAATCAATGGATTTCACATGACTGGGAATACAGATACTGGTCAGAGATGCCTTTAAAAAAAAAAAAACTGTAAAAAGGGGTGGGGATCAGAAAACCAGTCAGTATTTGGTGTGACCACCATTCGCCTCATGCAGCACGACACATCTCCTTCGCATAGAGTTGATCAGACTGTTGATAGTGGCCTGTGGAATGTTGTCTCTTCAATGGCTGTGCGAAGTTGCTAGATATTTGCGGGAACTGGAACACGCTGTCGTACACGTTGATCCAGAGCATCCCAAACATGCTCAATGGGTGACATATCTGGTGAGTATGCAGGCCATGAAAGAACTGGGACATTTTCAGCTTCCAGGAATTGTGTACAGATCCATGCGACATGGGGCGTGCATTAGAAGCCAGATGTGGAGTTTCTGGGCTGGCGTGGTTACCCATTGTGTGGCCGGTTGGACATACTGCCAAATTCTCTAAAACGACGTTGGAGGCTGCTTATGGTAGCGAGATGAACATTATATTCTCTGGCAACAGCTCTGGTGGGCGTTCCTGCAGTCAGCAGGCCAATTGCACATTCCCTCAAAACTTGAGACGTGTGGCATTGTGTGACAAATATGCACATTTTAGTGGCCTTTTATTGTCCCCAGTACAAGGTGCACCTGTCTAACGATCATGCTGGTTAATCAGGTTCTTGATATGCCACACCTGTCAGGTTGATGGATTATCTTGGCAAAGGAGAAATGATCACTAACAGGGATATAAACAAATTTGTGCGTATGGAACATTTCTGGGATATTTTATTTCAGCTCATGAAACATGGGACCAACACTTTACATGTTGCGTTTATATTTTTGTTCAGTGTAATAATAAATAAATAAAAAATATTTATAAATACTAACAAATAAATAAAAATTCCAAAATTGCATCCTACCTGAATAGCGAGTTGCACAGTAGCTTGCATTTGGCCACTCCAACGTTCTTCTCATCTTTGTCCACTACAATATTAAAACTTGGCCATACGGAAGACATTCACCTTGTCTGTCTCTCTCTCTCTCTCTCTCCTCAGCAGCAGGTGCATGCACATAAGGCAGCGCACAAGGAGTGAGAGAATGGTGCTGAAGCGCAAAATTAGGGGTGTATGATGGGCAGCCCCAGACAATTTGGCCAGCTACAATAGTTATTTATCGGCTTTTCATTTATTTTATCGGCCGGCAATTACCGGCTATCGGAAACCCTGGTGTATACCCATATAAACTATACTGTTTCCTTTATGGACCAGTGTTCATCTAAAAAGGCTAGTTCTAAGCTAGGGGCGGTTGTGGAATTTGATAGTTCATCACTAGTAGTCCATCCCTCCTATCTATATAGTGTGTAGACGTTCATGGACACAGATCGGGACTCAATCAACCGCTCTGTCTGTCTGTCTGTCTGTATGTCTGTCTGTCTGTCTGTCTGTCTATCCAGATGGTGGTGAAGACATTCATGGACATGGACCAGGACAGTGAGGAGGAGAAAGAGCTGTACCTGAACCTGGCGCTCCACCTGGCCTCTGACTTCTTCCTAAAGCACCCGGACAAGGACGTACGCCTCCTAGTGGCCTGCTGCCTGGCCGACATCTTCAGGATCTACGCCCCTGAGGCCCCCTACACATCACCAGACAAACTCAAAGTAAGGACCTAGACCTAACCATAGCATAACTATAGTCTTCACTCTGATACAATGTCCCCCGAGGTTCTATGCACATCACCAGACAAACTCAAAGTAAGGACCTAGACCTAACCATAGCATAACTATAGTCTTCACTCTGATACAATGTCCCCCGAGGTTCTATGCACATCACCAGAAACCAAACTGAAGGTCAGGAAGATTCACCTGTAGTGCAGGTTTCACAAACATTTGGTGTTTTTTCACACAAAAGCAGTCATTTGAGTAAAATAAAATGTTTTTATTTTTCTCTTTGTCATTGTGGCTTTGATTTGACACATAATCATCAGTTTGGGGGTAAATGTGTTGAATTAAGCTATCCTTAATTTTAGGACATATTTATGTTCATAACTCGTCAGTTGAAAGGACTGGAGGACACCAAAAGCGCCCAGTTCAACAGATATTTCTACTTACTGGAGGTAAGCTCTCATTGCGACCATCAGGCATTGTTTTCTCATCCACCAGCCAGTATAATGACTGTATTGTCTTTGACTCACCAGATTATAGCCTGGGTGAAGTATTCTGACGGTGTGTTTTGTCTTTGAATCACTAGAATATAGCCTGGGTGAAGTCTTACAACATCTGCTTTGAGTTGGAGGATAGTAATGACATCTTCACTCAACTCTACAGGACCCTGTTCCAGGTTATCAAGTGAGTAGCTCCATTCCAACCCACTAGAATGACTCCATAGTAGCTGGTCCCTGTTTGTGCTGTATAGCCAACTGCTATGGTTATTGTCATGCAGTTGGCAAGACGGCACAGATCTGGGACCAGGCTAGTGATGGGTGACAGGGCTCGACAATTACGCTTGTCCACTTGCCCGGGAAAAGTAAAAATAAAATAAAAGTTGGACAAGAAGAATATAGATTTATGTTGTCCGAATGGACAAGTAAATAATATCACGAAAAAATCACAATATCAAACAATTAGGCTACTCCGATCAGATTTGGATCGGATCAATGTCCTCCGGATGCAGTGTGTTGCACACTGTCCTCCAAATCTCTGCAGAGCACATCAGAATATAATTATTGTAGGCCTGCATTGACCGGCACAAATGGTCTTTAAGTCATGCAGTCGCAAGATGCGTTAAAAAAAAGTGAGCCTAGCCGCCGGTATTCATTGCTAGTTTGTGAGTTGTCTGCCCAGTTATAGCAAATGTTTTGTCACCATTTATTTGTATTTTTTAAATATTAAAACATAGAACTACTTGCAGTGAAGCCGCTCAACATTTACATTACATTCAGTCATCTAACAGACCCCCATCCAGAGCGACCCACAGAAGCAACCAGGGTCAACGCCCTGCTCAAGGGCACGTAGACAGATCTCCCACAAGGTCAAAAACGGGAACCCGAACCAGCGACCTATCAGCCACTGGCCCAAGCTCCCAACCGCCAGGCCACCAACCCTCCAAGATCCCTGCCACAGTTCCCAGAAAGCTTTTTAAAAACATTACAATACATTCATAACAGATTTCACAACATATTAAGTGTAGCTCTCCAGGTGTCACGCCCTGGCTCGGGGGACTCTCGTATGTTGAGCCAGGGTGTTAGTTTCTATGTTTTTGTTGTGGGTCTAGGTTACTTATTTCTATGTTGGTCTGAGTGACTCCCAATCAGAGGCAACGAGTGTCAGCTGGTTGTCTCTGATTGGGAGCCATATTTAAACAGTCGGGTTTTCATTCGTGTTTGTGGGTTTTTGTTTCGAGTCTGTTTATGGTAACCGTGAACTGTCACGTATCGTTCGTTGTTTTGTTCGTGTTGCCTTCAGTGAGAATAAATATGTTTGCATTCAACGCTGCGCATTGGTCCACTCTGTTAGACGATCTTGACAGAAAAACCCACCACAACTGGACCAAGCAGCGAGTCGAGGAGCCATCGCCAGGGAAATCGCTGGCAGATCTCCGTGGCAGCTTCGACTGGGTCAAGCCCATTGAGGAGCTGAGTGACGAGGGTTGGAGACAGAGGAGCGAGAGGTGGGCGAGAACGATGGAGGCCTGGCCCACGGGGAGGAGAGACCCCCAGAACATTTTTAGGGGGGGGGCTCACGACGTCGGGGCAGCAGGAGGCCGCTATGGAGCGGTCCAGCGGGGTTGCAGAGGAGGCCGCCAGGTTACGGGGGCCACTGGTAGAAGAGGGGATGGAAGGTGTAGAGGCACGGCGAGAGGTACTGGGGTGTGTTACCAGTCCGGTCCGGCCCGTTCCAGATCCCGGTGTAGGGCCAGTGGTGTGTGTCCCTAGTACGGTCCGGTCTGTTCCTGCTCCCCGCACCAAGTCTGTGGTGCGTCTCGTCAGCCCGGCTCTGCCCGTTCCTGCTCTCCGCACCAGGTCTGTGGTGCGCGTCGCCAGCCCAGTCCGGCCCATTCCTGCTCCCCGCATCAAGTCTGTGGTGCGTCTCGTCAGCCCGGCTCTGCCCATTCCTGCTCCCCGCACCAGGTCTGTGGTGCGCGTCGCCAGCCCAGTCCGGCCCATTCCTGCTCCCCGCATCAAGTCTGTGGTGCGTCTCGTCAGCCCGGCTCTGCCCGTTCCTGCTCCCCGCACCAGGTCTGTGGTGCGCGTCGCCAGCCCAGTCCGGCCCATTCCTGCTCCCCGCACCAAGCCTGTGGTGCGTCTCGTCAGCCCGGCTCTGCCCGTTCCTGCTCTCCGCACCAGGTCTGTGGTGCGCGTCGCCAGCCCAGTCCGGCCCATTCCTGCTCCCAGCACCAAGTCTGTGGTGCGTTTCGTCAGCCCTGTCCGGCCCGCTCCTGCTCCCCACACCAAGCCAGTGGTGTGCGTCGTCAGTTCAGCACGGCCCGTGCCTGTTCCCCACACCAAGCCAGTGGTGTGCGTCGTCGGTCCGGCACGGCACGTGCCTGTTCCACTGGTGCCTGGTCCGGCGCCGGTCAGATGCGTTACGCCGGAGCTAGAGCAATCCGCTCCACCAGTTTCCAGTCCAGCTCCGGTCAGCAGGACCAGACCGGACCAGGGGTACTTTGGGGGGTTAGAGAGCGAGTGGGGATCATGCCCGGAGCCGGATCCGCCGCCTAGGCGGAGTGCCCACCCGGTCCCTCCCCTGTTGTGTTTCGTTGGCGCGGTCGGAGTCCGCGCCTTTAGGGGGGGGTACTGTCACGCCCTGGCTCGGGGGACTCTCGTATGTTGAGCCAGGGTGTTAGTTTCTATGTTTTTGTTGTGGGTCTAGGTTACTTATTTCTATGTTGGTCTGAGTGACTCCCAATCAGAGGCAACGAGTGTCAGCTGGTTGTCTCTGATTGGGAGCCATATTTAAACAGTCGGGTTTTCATTCGTGTTTGTGGGTTTTTGTTTCGAGTCTGTTTATGGTAACCGTGAACTGTCACGTATCGTTCGTTGTTTTGTTCGTGTTGCCTTCAGTGAGAATAAATATGTTTGCATTCAACGCTGCGCATTGGTCCACTCTGTTAGACGATCTTGACACCAGGAACAGCGCCGGAAGAAGATGGCTGCCGTTTTACAGCCCTCTAACCAATTGTACTATTATGTGTGTTTTTCCGCGTTATTTGTAATTTATTTTGTACATAATGTTTCTGCCATCGTCTCTTATAACCAAAGAGAGCTTCTGGATATCAGGACAGCGATTACTCACCTCGCATTGGACGAAGACTTTTTCTTCAACGAGGCGTTCGCGAAGGATATTCTACAGACACCCAACAAGGCCCAGATCCCCGTCATTCGCGTGAGGAAGAGACGGAGATATCGTGGACGCAAATCCGGGTGCCTTGTAAGGATCCGACGGCGTGCGAGTAAACTGCCTCTACCATCAATCCTATTAGCCAACGTTCAATCTTTTGAGAATAAAATTGACGATTTAAGATTACGGTTATCCTACCAACGGGACATAAAAAACTGTAATATCTTATGTTTCACGGAGTCGTGGCTGAACGACAACAATGACAACATTCAGCTAGCAGGCTATACGCTACATCGGCAGGACAGAACGTCTGACTCTGGTAAGACAAGGGGCGGCGGTCTGTGTATATTTGTAAACAACAGCTGGTGCACAAAATCAAATACTAAGGAAGTCTCGAGGTTTTGCTCGCCTGAGGTAGAGTATCTTATGATAAGCTGTAGACCACACTATTTACCAAGAGAGTTTTCATCTATATTTTTCATAGCTGTCTATTTACCACCACAAACCAATGCTGGCATTAAGATTGCACTGAATGAGTTGTACAAGGCCATTAATCAACAGGAAAACGCTCATCCAGATGCAGCGCTCCTAGTAGCCGGGGACTTTAATGCAGGGAAACTTAAATCCGTTCTACCTAATTTCTACCAGCATGTTAAATGTGCAACCAGAGGGGAAAAAACTCTAGACCACCTTTACTCCACACACAGAGACGCATACAAAGCTCTCCCTCACCCTCCATTTGGCAAATCTGACCATAACTCTATCCTCCTGATTCCTGCTTATAAGCAAAAACTGAAGCAGGAAGCACCAGTGATTCAGTTAATAAAAAAGTGGTCAGATGACGCAGATGCTAAGCTACAGGACTGTTTTGCTAGCACAGACTGGAACATGTTCCGGGATTCTTCAGACAGCATTGAGGAGTACACCACATCAGTCACTGGCTTCATCAATAAGTGCATCGATGATGTCGTCCCCACAGTGACCGTACGTACATACCCCAACCAGAAGCCATGGATTACAGGAAACATCCGCACTGAGCTAAAGGGTAGAGCTGCCGCTTTCAATGAACGGGACTCTAACCCGGACGCTTATAAGAAATCCCGCTATGACCTCCGACGAACCATCAAACAGGCAAAGAGTCAATACAGGTCTAAGATTGAATCATACTACACTGGCTCTGACGCTCGTCGGATGTGGCAGGGCTTGAAAACTATTACAGACTACAAAGGGAAGCACAGCCGCGAGCTGCCCAGTGACACAAGCCTACCAGACGAGCTAAACCACTTCTATGCTCGCTTCGAGGCATGCAACACTGAAGCATGCATGAGAGCACCAGCTGCTCCGGACGACTATGTGATCACGCTCTCCGTAGCCGATGTGAGTAAGACTTTTAAGCAGGTCAACATTCACAAGGCCGCAGGGCCAGACGGATTACCAGGACGTGTACTCCAAGCATGTGCTGACCAACTGGCAAGTGTCTTCACTGACATTTTCAACATGTCCCTGACTGAGTCTGTAATACCAACATGTTTCAAGCAGACCACCATAGTCCCCGTGCCCAAGAACTCTAAGATAACCTGCCTAAATGACTACCGACCCGTAGCACTGACGTCTGTAGCCATGAAGTGCTTTGAAAGACTGGTCATGGCTCACATCAACAGCATAATCCCAGAAACCCTAGACCCACTCCAATTTGCATACCGCCCCAACAGATCCACAGATGATGCAATCTCTATCGCACTCCACACTGCCCTTTCCCACCTGGACAAGAGGAACACCTACGTGAGAATGCTATTCATTGACTACAGCTCAGCATTCAACACCATAGTGCCCTCTAAGCTCATCACTAAGCTAAGGATCCTGGGACTAAACACCTCCCTCTGCAACTGGATCCTGGACTTCCTGACGGGCCGCCCCCAGGTGGTAAGGGTAGGTAACAACACATCTGCCACACTGATCCTCAACACGGGGGCCCCTCAGGGGTGCGTGCTCAGTCCCCTCCTGTACTCTCTG